CGTAACGCCAGCACAGTAAGCTACGAGAATTTTTCTGAATGTCATTTAAAAGTTCAATAAAATATGGCTTCAGATATTTTTTTCTTAAACTCAAGTGGATATTTATTGCTATCTTTTAGCCTGTGTTCATTCCTTTCTTTTGAACTTTATCACATGTTCCTAGACTTCAAATTTTCTATTATTAGATTAGTCTTGTTAGGAAAATGCCAGGTTTGACTCCCTGAAACTATTAACAGGCACTTTGAAAGTTCCAAAACTAAAATTATTTTTATTATGAAATGAACAGCTGTTTTAAAGCTTGGAATAATATTGAGTAGAAAAAAAAACTACAGTTAAAAAAAAAATAGTTTTTACAAGACTTTTGCAGAGTGGCTGTTGATATGCAAGTTACACCACAATAGCATGATGTCTTAAGTTTTATGAATACATCACTGACTTAACAAATATCATTTTAGAAAACTAAATGCACATTTAATATAAATAACAAATCCCAGCATAATACTTTACTTTTTAGATTAAAAAAAAATGGTGACAACACTGTCAGTCCATTTTAAAAAAAAATGCGAAGCTCATCCATTAGCTCAACTGTTAACTTCAACACTCACTCTTTTAAGAAGTTTAAAATTAATTTGTATTACTGTAACTTATAGAGATTTTTGCTTAAAAAATATATGGGACATATTAAAGGGCTTTCATGAACAACTTATAAATTTTGAAATTTAAAACAGTTTGTACTATTAGATAGCCACCCTATTACATCAGCAACATAGCTTTACATACTTATTTCACCTTTCTGCTTACAAATACTTACAAAATCATTATGAAAAATGAGACAAAGACAAATTTAAGCAAGACATATCATGATCCATTTGACTGGTGCCTTAGTTTAATTACAAGCCAAGAGTGTGCTTCTTGTCAGTTTTTTTTTTTTTAATTTTTCATATATTATTATGTCTTCTTATTACTTACATATTTTAATTTATGGACTAACTACTGTAGCCAATAAAAGTATTCGTACACCATATTTCTTAGTCAAAAAATTTTTTATTTATGTTTTCAACGGGAAGCAAATATAAATAACAATTAGAAATTTTGTTTTGCGTTAATTGTACAAAATCATGTTATATGAAAAATATCAAAACATTCAAATATGAAGCACAAAAAAAAAAAAAAATTCGTACATTTATGTATTAAATCGGTCCCAGTATGTAGTCGTCCCAGGTCAACTCCCATCTAAGACCCTCCCCCTCTCCTGTGGTGTCCCTCAAGGTTCCTCTCTATCTCCTACTCTGTTTGCTATTTATATTAATAACCTTCCCCTCCTGATCCATCACTCCCAATACCAAATCTTCTTGCAGATGATTTCCAAATATACCTGTCCTTCCCGCTCTCCGACCTATTATCAGCCACAGAAAAACTTCAAGAAGACTTGGATAAGATTTGTGACTAAGCGAGAGCCAACAAGTTGAAGTTGAATGTGGAAAAGACAAAGGCAATCTTAATTGGCTCCACTCACCTCCTTAAAATTGTTCCACATATTCCAACTCTATTCCTGAGTGATAATCCCATCAAATTTTATCCCTCTATCAAAAACATTGGAATAACCTTTGATCAAACGCTTTCCTGAAAAACCATGTATCCAACATCTCCCACCATACCATTTCCACCTTAAAACGCCTAAACTACTTCCGTCACTTATTTCCCCTTAAAACCCATAGGCTCCTGGTCACTTCCTTATATTCCAAATATTCTTTAGTGCTGAACTGAACAAGCAATTTCTTGTGCAGTTTTATTATTTAATTCTCTGAAGTAAAGGATTATTAATAGAACGTTAAAACACTGTTTTGATAACAAAAAATATTGTATTATTAATACTTGCTATAGTGTATGAATATTTTTTTGTGTACAAATTATTGAAATATTAATGTAATAAAAGTTGTATAAGATTTTAAATTTTGGCGCTACATAAAATTAATACAAAATGAAGTTTGTAATTGATATCTGCCGTTATTTCAAGTTAAAAAAAATATAGTGAACCGTTTTCAGCCAAAAAACGGGTTGTACGAATAATTTTTTTGCCCACTGTATATGTTACATATAATCATTCATTCATATCTCATTTAATTTTAATTATTTATTATCTAAATATACAAATTAGATTTATTATGATCATTTTCATACTGTTTGTAATCTTATTTTCTCGTTGTATTGCTTTTCTTAATTGTTATTATTTTGTTTTTACTTAGCTCTGATGAAGGCCTGTGTAAGCACACATTAAAATAAGTTTATTTATTTTTTTTCATCACAAAAAACTAACTTCTTCTATAGTATAATTTTATGATTATAATTAATAGATATATGTTAGAACTTATAATTAATAATTTATATAACTTAAATTATTCATAAATGTTATAGCACTAATACAATAATTTTAACATTATTTTGACTACTTTTCCTTGGTTGTCATTTACATTATTAAAATTTTTGTCCAACAATGCACATTATAATTTTATATATAATTAATGAAAAAAGTTGAAATCTAAGTGCTAAAAAGGAAAAAAATTGGGAAAAATTTAAGGTCAGTAAGATTAATGTATTAGTAAGTTACTATCTAATAAGTGTTCATTCATGTATGGCACAACATCCCGTCACCGAGACTGGGCCTCCTCCAAGAGCCTCCGCCAATTGGCTCTGTCTTCTGCTGCAGCTCTCCAGTTCCGCACACCAAGCAGGGTTCTCGCATCATAGGCCACGTTGTCCAACCATCTCGTCCTCGGCCTTCCTACCCGTCTTACGAGGTGCAGCTCCTCCATCATTATTTTTTTTGGTATTTCAAGGGTGCTCATTCTGGCCACATGCCCTGCCCACCTTAGTCTGGCCAGTTTAATATACGTGACTACATCGATGTCTGCATAGAGAGAACTGAGCTCCCTATTTTTTCTTTTCCTCCAGACATCACCCTCCTTTACTGGACCATAAATCCTTCTGAGGACTCCTCGCTCAAAGACACTCAGCTTCATCTCATCCCTTTTGGTCATCGTCCAAGCCTCTGAGCCATATGTCAAAACAGGCCGAACAAGGGTCTTGTATATGATCAGCTTGGTTTTCTTTGAGAGGTACCTACTTCTTAAGTGTCGGCCAAGTCCAAAGACACATCTATTGGCAGCCGTGATCCTTCTTTGTATTTCTTGAGCCATGTCATTCTTGCTATTGATTTCAGACCCAAGGTATATAAACCTTTTCACTCTCTCAAACTTAAAAGAACCTACCTCAAATGGAGAGTTCAGATCAACCTCACCGCCAACTCTCATATACTTAGTTTTCCTCTCGTTGACTTCTAGACCAAGTGGTCTTGCAGCTGCTTCAAGGCTTATAAACGCTTCTCTGAGAGCCCGTTCAGACCTACCTACTATGTCAATATCATCAGCAAAACCAAGAAGCTGTGTCAGGCGATTGAAGATTATATCTTTGGTCTGAATACCGGAGTCTCTTACAGCTTTCTCCTCTGCCAAATTGAACAATAGACAGGCGAGGGCATCCCCTTGCCTAACCCCACTGCTCACTTTAAACTCTTCGGAGTCGTCAGAACCGACGCGTATTCTGCATCTCGAGCTGTCCATGGTCATCTTGATTAGGCGTACGAGCTTCTGAGGGATGCTTAGCTCCTCCAAGGCACAGTATAGTTGCGTTCTATCAACGCTGTCGTATGCTGCTTTAAAGTCCAGGAATAAATGGTGGGTGACTACCTTACGCTCCATAGTCTTTTCTAGGATCATCCTCAGAGAGAACAGTTGATCAGTCGTTGAGCGTCCTCTTCGAAATCCAGCCTGATATTTCCCCAGTTCCTTTTCAGAATACGGGAGGATCCTCTCAAAAAGAATGTTAGAGAGCAGCTTATAAGCACACGAAAGGAGTGAGATTCCTCGATAGTTAGCGCATTCTATCTAATAAGTGTTACTGCCAGTAATACACACACATATTAGATACGTTGAGAGAAATTTTTAAAATTTATGTGAACCATAGCATTAGTTCCGATGGTGGATCTTTGTAAATGGGATTAATTGCCAGCAAATTTAGTCATTTATCGATCTTTTTTTTTTCTTCTATACCATAGATTGGAAACATTTTTATCATTAAAAGCCGCAATAAGGTTTTTCATACAATCTATATAATAACAATAGTGGATTAATAGTTGGCTGTTGTGATTATAATGAAGAGACGTTGGTTGGGTTGAGCAGTCACAAATAAAAATTAATAAAGATTAAGGTTAAGTCTTAATCTTGGCTAAGAAAAGACAAGATAATAATACATATGAGAAACTAGTAAATGATAGAAACATAATAATTCGTAGATCAAAGTTAAGATATATAACATAACGGTAAAAAAGGTTAGGAACTTTTAAAAAAAATAACATATAATAAATAATAATAAAAATAATAACGGTAACATAGTTAGAAACCATAAAATAAATAATAACGATTACAGAGTTAGGAACTTATGAAATAAATAATAATAAAATAACAGCATAATGAAATTAGCAAAGAAATGAAAAATGAATCAGCAAGGAAATGTAACGGAAGATTAAGAGATAAAAAACGTAAGAGTTAGGTATAAAATAAATGGAATGACTTAGTTGCTAAAAGTTGATGTCTTAGGATGTTAACGGGAAGTGAGACAGACTTAGAATAAAATGTAAAACAGAGAAAAAGAAATTTTATTCTTCTCATTTTCAAGAAAGTCTCTCTTACTCATTATTTCTGTCTCATTATTTGTCTACTGTTTACTAGTTTCTCATATGTATTGTTATCTTGTCTTTTTCTTAGCCCCGATGAAGGCCTGAACCTTGGGCTGAAACGTTGGCAAAAATTTAAATAAACATACTTTATTTATTTTTACTTTTTTACTTTTCACTGCTCACTCCAACCAACTCCTCTTCATTATATGATGATAACAATGAATTTAGACATTATTTAATTAATCTATGATCTTTCCATACTTACTGAACTTTGAATAATCCGGTGGGCCTAAATAGAAGTTTTCTGGTTCATTAATTTCTTCGTCAAATTTATTTTGTTTCATACAAAGCAACATTCTCCTCCATTGCCACCAAACATTTCGTTTTGACTTACGACTCCCATACCATAGTTTAGCATCCCAGAAAAACTTTGTTAATCTCCAAAATAATTTATTTTTTAATCAAACTTCTTGAAATAGCCTAAAACAAATAAAAAATGTTATTATTAATAATAATGCAGAAACTAATGATAATATAATATATTATATTTCATATTTATAATTTATTATAATAGATATTTATTGATTCATTCACAAAATAATAATAATAATCAATTTAAATAATTTCATTTTAGTCAATGACTAAGGACAGGTTTGTTATGAAAATACAATATTTATTTAATAGCAACCATGTAAATTAAAATATATAATTTTGTATATATGTTCTATATCTTGGTTAGTTTGTTACTGATTTATATTATTTTAAATATTCTTATATTATAAATAAACAATGATTTATGTATATATTTGATGAGACACTAATAAGTTATAATAATTGATAAAAAGTTCTTTGATCTTCCATCCCAATGTTTTACAATAAATCTATATTAACCTTTTAAAATTTCATCATAAACAATTACCTGCTTATTAAACAATTTATAATTTTACGAAAAGCAATTTAAATTCGTCACTCATCCAGAAAAACAAACTTTATTTAATTTGAACTAAAACCACATTTAAAATTATATGAAATATCAAAAAAGTTAAAAAGAATATTAATTTATATGAATTTAACAACATAGTTCATGTAAACAATTTTTAAAACCATTGACAAGATAAAGCGGACAAAATCAATTTAAATTGTTTTTCATAAAAATATGAATTGTGTTATTTGATTAGCAGTAGGGTAAACGCACCAGTTATGGACAGATTGGACTTTAAATGTAAATAATAAGCTTCCTTGCTGATTTAATAGTTCCAGTTTTTTCTCGATTGAAGAACAATGCCCTCTATTGACAACTGTATGAACATAGTTCCCAAAAGAAAATAGTAAAATATTTATCATTGTTGTTTCTATAGTGCTCTTGAGATCACTGTCTTTCATACCTTCCTACTAACAGTTTTGCTTAGAGTAGGTTTAACATATTGTTATCTTATCTTTATATTTAAATAAAAATTTAGAATTTTTGGGGTGTCCTTCACTAGTGTATAAAGATTTTTTTTTTTTTAAATGGAGATTATACTGCGTAACTGATTATTTTTTTCAATTTTAAAGTGCTAAATAGAAAGAGGAGACCCTAGGTATTGTGAAAAGTTTATAACTGTAATAATTATGGTGGTATAAGTCAAAAAAGACAAACATTTCCTTAGCTATGTCCATCACTGGTTTATTGTAGAACGTTATATTTTAAGCAAATATACGTAAAACATTTTCCAGATATGCTGAGGATGGTCAAAAGCCGAAACGTTCCTGTAAATTAATATTACAAATAATGAATATTGTGGGAGGAAAGGTCAAAGAACTTTTTATCTATTATTCTTCTTCTTTATGTTTTATTCCACAGGCTATTATAAATCAGAATAAGTAATATTTTTCTTTTTCTTTTTAGGACATGCACAGCAACACAGCCGGAAGACGAAGAAGCACCACGATCTCTGCTCCAATTTAATTTAATTTTGAAAGACTAATATTTTAAATATAATTGTAGTTTGGACTAGAAATTGTTTATATTATTATTATAAGTAATTATTGATGGTGTAGAATGTAAGAGAAATGATATTGATCGGTAGAGTATTATAAATTAGAAGATAGCTGCTTATTTTATTTAATGTAAATTGTTTATGATATGATAAATATGTGAGCATTAATTTTTTTTTTACCAATTATTTTCATAATTATTAATTGTATTATATTAATTAATTATTTGATGATTAATTTTCATATAGTTTAAGCTCGTTTTAAAGGAATTGACCTATTCTACACCATTAATATGGCAATTCGATCTTTATTGTTTTAAGAATAGTCAACGTTTAGTATAGCAATAAGTTTTTTAAATTGTAATAATGAATTTTGTTATACAATGTTTGAATACAAAATATAAAAAAATACAATCAATAACGTCAATATTCATGTAAATCTTTTCTTCCACACCCTGGTCTAAAAATGATAAAGTAAAAACATACTTTTTAGGTTTATTTTAGGACATAATAAAAATCACTAGCTCTTCCATAATACAATTGAAGAGTTTGGCTGACTAACATTTTGTTGCAATTTTGCGTAATTGAGTTTTTAACTAAATTATTTTCTAAGTAATTTTTGTTAATTGTTCTTAAAATAAAGTCATAATTGCTATTACCTTAAGAGATTGAAAGAGTAATGTTAATTTCAAATAAAAAGTCATTTTTGATCAGTTTTATGATCTGTATATTTAAAAAATAATTATGTGACAATGTTTGTTGCATTGAATAATATCAAATGCTCTACATAATTTTTTTATGATTGGCAAGACTTAAATTCAGTCCTGCTTGGTTAGTTCGCATTTGATATGAATATATGGTTTTAATTTATTCCTGGAATAAGGAATAAAATCATTGTTTTAAGAAATATTCATATTGATTTATTTGAGTTTCAATCACTCTGTCATTTATGCTGAAGTATCTTTAGTCACTTGTTTTTTATTTTATGTTTATAAGAAATAAGTTATTCATTTTCTAAATTCATTTAAATTATAAATCGATCTTTTCAAAATTTATAATAAATCCAAATTCAACAAACATTGTGTTTGATTTGTAGAACTGATATTCTAGTTTATCCATCTAATTTAGTCTTATTTAATTGAAAACTAAATTCACAGTTGGTGAAGAATTTTATTATAGGCATTTGACAGAAGTGAACCAATTTATATCGCACATGTTTTGACTAAATTCAAAAGTTAAATGGCCTAAGAAAATCTTTAAGCTTTCAAAATTATTATTTCTTCACAACACTAATTGTATACTACTTTTATCCATTCCAAAATATTGCTATTATATCAATAGATTTATCTAAAATTAAATTTGTGATTGTTGTTTTATTCCATTTCTTCCATTTTGTTTCAACTTTCCATCGAAGATATCTGAACTAAAAAATAGTTCTTTTCTGTTGAATATAGTAAGAACTAATCCCATCTAAACAATTCTAAATCCTTTTTGTATATTTTTTGAACGAGTTCACTACTAACTGATGTCCATTTATAGTTTGAAAACGAACTTCAAATGGTAGCTCATTAGAATACTTAAAAACTGTACAATATAATTATTAAGATATATTGTAATAAAAGGTAATTATAATATTTAGGAACAAAAACATATCCGAATTTTAAATTAAGTGTGCATTTATTATTTCTAAAATTGCTGTCCTATTTCTAGTTTGTAATTTCTTTCTAGACCAGATTATTGCATAGAAACAACAATTTCAATTTGATTTAATCAATATTTTCCAGTGATCTCTATGTTGTATTGCGCAATTTTTTTTCAGTTCAATTTTATTGAAAATTCAATATAAAAACATTATTATTATAATTATTTAAAAAGAATCTCACAACAACATGATATTTCATATATTGCAATAATAAAAACAAATATATTAGTACAGTTTAAATAAATATTGTTGATTTACATTGAATTATTTCAATTTATAATAATAAATATAACACCATTAATAGATTTATGAACTAAATTACATTAATTTTTTTACTGATTTTTTACCGAAACAGGCCTACAATGATCACTTAAACATCATTTTATATAGATAGTTTCTATCTTTTTCTTTCAGAAAGAGTAATTACAATTATAAAAAAAAAAACTCCAAAGTTAAATTCTGGCTCCACAACTGCCTGTATAATATTAATATAAATATATATAAATTTAAGGAAGATCCTTTTAGAGCACTAGTTTTAGCAGAAAAATGTTTTGAACTCAACAGTAATAATTGATTTCTTCCATTTAATTTACTGTCATCAATTTAGTACCATATTTAAAATAGATTAAGATGGTGTTTATATGATGTGGCAGCTTTTTAAAATTATTAAAGGAGGAAGGTTAGATTTAGGATTTTTTAAAGTATAACCTTTCAGCCTTATGCTTAACCTACAAGGGTCTTTTTAAAATTGTTTATAAATATATATAATTATATTTTTTTAAGCTAAATTTTTCATTATCCATCCTTCAAACAAATTAAAATGTATTCAAACATACTTACACTTTTCACTCTGTTATTTTGTTAGTATACATATGCATTTATTAAATTAGGATATTTTATACTCGAGGGCATTAACAAAATGTCCAAAAATTGGAGTTTTCTGTGAAAATTTCAATTATTATAATTATTTTTTGTTTGATATATTGTTTATTTGTTGATAGTATAATAGAAATTGATAGTTATTTAAATCAATTGATTTCGATGTATCAAAATGGTATATCATCAAAGGCAAACAATGTATTATAGCTAATGTAATTTTTATATTTCTTGTAAAACCATTCTATTTTATATTCATGAAAAATTACTGAAGTACAATTATGCTGTAAAGTGATAATAGATATATGACTTTGTACTTCTATACTTAATAATATAAAAATTCGAACTTGATATTGTAATTAATATCTTTCTATTCAAAACCATTCCACAAAACTAAAAACTAAATTTAGTTTATTTATAGTTTTTGTTTTTATCTATGCTTTATATCATAGATAGAATTAGTTTAATTTAAAAAGTAACTACTATTTAAGGCAAGTGATGGTTTACTAATATTTTTAATATTTCTTTTTTAAAAATTTTATTTAAATTTTCAAGACTAAAATTTAACCTCCAGAATAAACCAAAGTTTAAGTAGCAACATTAAAATAGAAAAAAAATGTTAACATTTTCATAAAAAATGTACATTTCAAAATTTATTCCCATAAAAATGTCTCTTCAGTTAAGATATTTCTTAACAGTCCAGGAACTAACAATTTTTTTTCATCATTAACTACCAGATTGTAGATATGGAAGATCTCATTTTGCTTGAAGATAAATTTTGACAGGTAATTTCTGAAGAAGGCTTTAACTTATAGAATTTTTCAAATGAAATACAATTTGAATTTAAATTGAAACCACTGCAAATTCGAAACATTGGAGAATTGGGAGTTCATAGCCTCAAATCTTTATATAAAAATATGTAATAAATTCAATTCCTTTTTTAACGTTTTTTCAAATATACCAATACAAAAAACACTAATATTTTTATTTTATTTATTTATTTACATTGTATTGGTTGAGTTTTAACTCTATAGTAAGGGAGTTGGCTTTAATATGATATACATTTCAATCATACTCCTCATATTACAATCACAAATATAAGCAGTAACAATAGTTATTAACAATGAAAAAATACAAATCACTTTTATTAAAGTACGGTTATTTTTATTCTCAATAGATATACATATATTTATGCAAGGATACCAAGGATTAATTGCACAAAAATAAATAAAACTTTATATAAATAAAAAAGAAAAAGAAAAAATCTTCAAAAGTGAAAAAATAAAGTTTTCCTTTTGTTCCAAATAATATTTAACTTCTATACAGAATGATCGAGTTCTGAATAAAACAGTATATTTTCTTAAATTCATTGGGCGAATTCAAAGAAAAAAGCATTGAATCATATATTGGACATTGTGCTAAAACATGGAATAAATCTCAATTTATACGGTTATTGCACAATGGATAGTTATTTTATTTTTATTTGAAAATTTTCGAATCTCAGTATTCAACGGAAATACGGAAATATGTGTTTTGAGGTCCACTGAGTCCAAATAACCAAGTGTAGCAAAATGGTCTGTGTGTGTGTGTGTTAACAGTATAGCTCATAAACGAAAAGTAGTACGAAACTGATATTAAGTATTTAAGGTTTGTATAAGGGCCAGATGTGACAGCAACTTTTTTGTTAAAATCGGCTAATCGGAAGCGCCCATTTATATGAACGCTGAAATACATTTTTACAATTTTCTCTAAAATGGCTCTAACGATTTTGATTAAACTCTGTGTATCATTGTATAATTAAGTGATCTTTAATATCATTTAGGTCTTATCCCCGTTGATGTCACCTTACAGGGCTTAAATGCCCAATGTTCATGTATGTCTTCCTCTAAAGTACCTTTAATATGGTTTATTTTAAAAATTTAATCATTTCGCATTATTCAGAGTAAAAAAAAAATGCTACATATAACTTTTGAAAGAATTTGATAAGTTAATAACGGAGAAAAAAAATAAAAATAAAAATAAAAAACCTCCGTTGCTATAGACTGCAGCGCCTAAACTTCAATGAAACTTCGATAAAGTCATTTTCTCGACACCCTTTAAATTTATCTATATAACATATTTCAGCGAAAAGAAGCTGGAAAAAAAAGTTACGAGGGATGGTAAAATTAAATTCCGAATAACTCAAAAAGTATACACTTTTTTGTAGATATTGTAACAAAATGTTTCATAGGTTTTTAAATTTCCTAAAAAATGAAAGAAGTTTCATCGAAATCGAAGCACTCACTATTAGTAGAGATATCGCGATTTTAAAATATTTTTTTAAATAATAATAACAATAAGGCTTAGCGAACTTGAAGGTTCAATATCGATATCACCAATCAATGTCTACATTTTTCCATCGACTGGGTGTGTCTTCAAAACCCAACTCTGTCAAATCAGCCTTAAGGCAATCTTCCCACCTTCGCTTTGGTCTACCCCTTGGATGTTTGCCAGTCGGCACAGCTTATATTTTTATATACAATATAATATCACAAACATTTTTTTACATATAATATTATAATGTTCGTTTTTAAAAATAATTATGTTAATTATAAATGGCAATGGTATATATGATATAAACTCGTGAGACTTTTTTTTTTTTGAGGGGGATGGAGGGGATCCATAGCCCCCCAACCAGAATGGAAAGCTTCCACCTATGCCCATAAAACAATGTTTTTGGTCATAAATTATTATTTTTTTTTTTATTCCTAACATAGGCATTTCTGAAATATGAACCAAGCGTATTGATTGTTCTAGAGGTGTAGCCAAACCTATTTTAATCAGATTGAGAAGGTCGAGATTCATTGGACTAAAGGCTATTCTTGCACTTAGATATGAACCTAGCGTGCGTAGAAACGAAAACGCCTTACGAAATTCAAACCAAATTCCTTTTATAATTGACACTAGTTTCCAACAACGCAGAACAGTTACATACTATTTCCAAACACAGCTGCCGATAACTTTCCACGTAACGGTTGCCATTTCTTCGTGCTTCCAAGACCAGGTTCGATTCGACACAGTTGAAGCGAGGCGTCAATAGTCTTTTTAAGGCTGAGCTTTTTATATCCTTTGTCGTGGTTCCTCGGGAGCGGTCACATCCACTTCGGGCCGAAGAAAGGATGCTCAAGGATATGGGAAAAAAAAGGTCTTAGGTCCTGGCATATTCAGGAGATAATTGACCGGTAGGGATTGAAGAAGATGCAGGATCAAGAAGGATTTCTTATTTAATTGTTGAGCGAATGAGATTTATTAAAGAAAAGTGAAATCTCATCCAACTTTCCATCATTTGAAATCGTTTGTTAAATATAAATAAAAAATCGAGAAAGTCATTATTATTTTATTTAAGTCAGGATTTTCTAATTTTCATTTTATGAAGTAAAATTGTCAGATGCTCTCTGTTTTTCAAAAGAAAAAATGTCGAAAAAAATGCGAATAAATAGAAAAGTCGATTACAGTTTTACTTTCACTAACTTAAATATTAAATACACAAACAGAGTTACAAATCCCCTAAAGAGCATGTGGGAGTGCATTTCTTTTCAAATGAATCTTAAGATAATTTGATCCCAAAATCGAGAAAAAGAGGTCTACAAAAATATTGGGCCGTTTTGGTCCATATTACCTCGCTATTTTGACCTGTTGGAGGTGGAGGTCACACCAAACGGACCAATATTTTTGCAGGCAGGAATTCAACGATGTATAGGTCCATTATAAGGTTATCTGAGGCCGCGATTTATGCAAATATTATCGATTTTAAGATTGCGCCATCGTATATCGATAGTTCGGTCAATACTTTTACTATTTATTAAATAACTAATTATTACTTCTAAATAATAGCTGATAAAATACTATCTTCGATTTTGGTTTGATATAACGGATACTTAGGAGTTCCCAAAAGAGGATTCAATGGCGCAAGTTGAATTAGCAATATTTTGAGGGAACACATTTTTATAGAAAATACATTTCAACTTAACTTTCAAACCAAGATAACAAGGAAAGCTCTACGCAACAATTTTTATAATTTTACATTTATTTACATCGTTTTTAAGAAAGATAGAGCAATAAATTTTCTTACGAGCATGTGAAAGAAATGGGTGTTCCAGAGTTTTTATTACTTCATTATATTAATGAGAAAACGTCCCATTTCTGATCTCCCCTGACGTCCCATTTTTCCCTTACTCGTCTTACTGTGAGGCGTCGGGTTAAGATAAAATTTTGAATAATAGCTCATTATAAAGAGGATGAAATGCCGAACATTTCTCTCGCTTACAGTATGCAGGTCCGATTTTTTGTTTCTGAGATATTTTAATCCTTATCTTCAATCAAACTCGTTATAATTTGGTTTTCGAAAATATTTTTTCCTTTTCGTCTCACACAACACAGCGTAGCGCTGAGATACACTTTTGAATAATATCCTATTACAGAGAGGATGGAATGATGAACAGTTCTCACGCTTACAGTATGTAGGCCCAATTTTTAATTTCTGAGATATTTTAATCCATGTACAAAAACACGTTGATTATTCGGTTCCAGACGACTTTACCCGAGCGTTACACATTGCAGATATGAGGGCTCAAACTAATTCACTTTCCACAAAAAAGTGCAAATGAAGTTCTTACTTAAAAAAATGTATTAAAAAGATTATCTTCAGTTTTATAGCTCGATTTTTTTCCGTTTTGTATGAACTTCCATTCACGTTTTTTTAATGCTGAGCTAAATTTGGAGGGGCATGCGTGCGCCTCTATGCTATTCTTTTTGAATTCTCTTGTATATTAACTTGTATTCAATAGCTTGAAAAAAAAATCTGCTGCTTAAACCAATTTGCATTCCAACCATCTTGTGTTGCAGCTGGTCAACAAAGAGTATTTCTTTATCAAGTTATTAGCCCAATAAAAAGGTCTTTGAAGTGAAAACCTCTTTAGGCGCTCTTTTTACTTTATTCTGTGGCTAGTGAATGAGACGTCACGTTCGGCAGTTTAACGTTCATTTGGGTGAAGTCGGTTCAAGTTGACTAATTTTTGCATTCGGATTAAAATATTTCAGAAAATGAAAATCGGAGCTGCATACTGTAAGTAAGGGAAATGTTCAAAATTTCACCCTCTTTATAATGAATGATTACTGAAAATTGTATCATAATGTAACGCCGTGTTAGTGAGGCAAAAAGAGAACGAGTTTGGTTGTTTATATGGATTAAAATATCTCAAAAATTAGAAATATGACCTGCATACTGTAAGCGAGGGAAATGTTCAGCATTTCATCCTCTTTATAATGAATAATAACAATAATTATTCAAAATTTTACCATAACGCGACGCCGTG